AATAAAAAGCCAAATTAGAAGGTCATTCAAATACAGTTTATTCAGTCTGTTTCTCTCCTGATGGTACCACATTAGCATCTGGTAGTAGAGATAACTTAATCATTTTATGGGATGTTTGGACAGAATAATAAAAAGCTAAATTATAAGGTCATTTACATTGGGTTTATTCAATCTGTTTCTCCCCTGATGGTAATACATTTGCATCTGGTAGTGGAGATAAGCGCATTCTTATATGGGATATGAAGACAGGATAATTAAAAGCAAAATTAGATGGTCATACTAACGCAGTTTATACAGTGTGTTTCTCCCCTGATGTTACTACATTAGCATCTGGTAGCTAAGATAACTCTATCCGTTTATGGGATGTAAGGACAGGAGAAAAAGCCAAATTAGATGGTCATTCTAATGCAGTTTATACAGTCTGTTTCTCCCCTGATGGTAATACATTAGCATCTGGTAGTTATGATCAGTCTATCCGTTTATGGGATGTTAAGAGAGGATAATAAATGGTCAAATTGGATTACCATTCGAATTCAGTCCAATCAGTCTGTTTCTCTCCTGATGGTACTAAATTAGCATCTGGTAGTTAAGATCAGTCTATCTGTTTAATGGATATTACATCAGAAAAATTAAAAGCCTAATTAGATCCTACTCATTGTGTTTATTCAGCCTGCTTCTCTACTGATGGTACTAAGTTAGCCTGTTGTAGTGATGAGAATTTGATTCGTTTATGGGATATACAAATAGGACAAGAAATATTACCTTCAGAGAATCGGTATAAAGATATCCTACAATAATTTAAATCAACCTACTTTAAAAACAACGATCTTACAGAAAGTGGTATTTTTCACCATTATTAGGATTTCTCTTATATTACCATCCTTCGAATTTCCTAAAATCCAAATATAGAAGCTTAAGGAGCTTTAATCTTGAAAGGAGAATTTGTAAATTATTAAGGAGTAGATTTAAGATAATTATTCAAGTCTAAAGGAAGTTTGATTTTAGAAACTTATAAAAAAAATTGATAATTATTAAAAAAATACAAATAAATATTTGCTTAATCATCACCAAAATAAATTTCGCCACTAACTAGGATGTTGGAGCTGTTATTTTCCACAATCCTTTTTATAAATGATGTTAATCATACAGTCAAGTAAAAGTTAATCAAACCCGTTGCTATATTTGAATTAATTAATATTTTGTATATATATTATAGATTGATTTTGAATGTTAGTAATAAAAATTGAGAAAATTTAGTCATAAGAAATTATAATGACTTATAATCATTAGATTGATGATGGAAGTAATTTAACATACCTTTATTTCTTTATTATTTTACCATTATAAATGAGGAACTGCATTTTACTTTTTATATTGATCTGAATTACCTAACTTACAATAACCATCACTAAAAGTAACACTTATGTAGAAATCTTGTCCAATGTAGGTTGGTAACTGAAATTACAATAAATTGCATAATATTTCTATCATATTTCAAAGGCTAAACTTAATTGTGAGTTTATGAAAATATTAAGGATCATAACTTATAATCTTGCACATCAATAATTATATAGTTAAAGAGACTAAACTTAAATGGATATGAAAATTTATGCCAATACCCAAATAAATTACTTTATGGAAGATTTATATTAATTCTTTCCCACATTATGCATATAATAAAAGTAGGTTATTGAAGAATTTGATAGGACTATTCAAAATCTTGTCCCAATAAATTTATCGATATATATTATTAGGGCGAAAAGAAATAGAATAGCTTCTGATGTTAGATATCTATTTTTTAAGGGGGGAAGATGTGGACTAAGCACCAAAAAATAGAGAATCATAAAATATAATAAAGTAGCATTTACAAAATAACATATGATTCTATGTGTTTATTTGATTGGAAAAATAAAAGGAAAAAGATTAAAAAATCTCTTAGAAAGTTACTTGAGAAGAAATTGGATCATAAAAAATAGTGATTCAATTAATTGATGATAATAATATGTGTGTGTGAACCCTAAAAGGAATTTTTAATTATTATTAATTATTTATAAATCAGAGTCTATATTTATAATACCTTAAAACTGAATATTTTCAGAGTATTTTGTCCAGGTTTTTTGTATTAATGCATTAGTTTGAATCCATTTTTTGAGTTGAAAATTGATAAAAGTAATTTTTATACATTGCCTTCAACCAAGGCTTAGATATGACACAAATTCATCACTACAAGATTTATTTTATTAAATATCATTCTATAAAATGCTTAGATTTATATTTCATCATTTGTTTACTTTAAATCAAAGTTCTAAAATTCTATTTTTTGCCGATTAAACTTCTTAAATTATAAATAATTCATGTGGAGAGTAATTTCTTGTTGTCAAACCAATATTGTAAAATTAAGAAAAGCCTATCTCCTAATTTCATGGCTCAAGTAAATTAACATATTATTTTAACATGGTGTTCGAATTTTATTTATTAGTATTTCGAGAATTTTCGTTTTATCAACTTTATATACTTTCATTTTATTTTTAGGTAATACAAACTAGATTAGTTGTATTGATTATTGATATATGAATTAGGAGAATTATTCAAAAATATATATTTCATTTACTTATATCTTTCCATTTCAAAAATAAAAATAAGATTCTGTGATATATTTGTTCTTAACAATGAGATTCTAAAGTTCAATCTCATCATATTTCAGATTTAAATGAATAATTTCCTAACACAATAACTTATTAATTCAATCAACTTACAGATTTTGTTTATCAAGTTTCATGGCATACTTATCTTATTTATTCAAATTTCTTAATAAGGACAATAAATCAAAATTAATTTTTCATTTTATCCTATTAATTAATCTGAGTGAAGTGCTGATTATAATTTTTTAGAAAACAATAATAACTTTATTCATTAGGTAATTTTGCAAAAATGATGAATACAAAAAAATATGGATTTAACACATTAACCTACAAGTTGCCTTTACGAATGAGTGCTATGAGCTCATTAGATTAAAAAATCTATCAGGACTAATTCTACAATAATATGTATAAAGATTGATTTATTGGGATTAACTCCCTTAAAGAGAAAAAACTGGTGAAAGTAAAAGAGAATAATTTATATTTAGGTGTTAAAAACTAATTAATTATAGGATAGAGGATAAATGTTAAAAAATTAAACTGCTATAAAAAGGCATTTTCGTGTCTCAAAAAAAAAGTTAAAATCAATTCAATAGTCTAATTCTCAGCTAATGATAGAAACTTTGGAAATTTGAACTTATTAATTTATAATGGTAGACATCATTCTAAATTCTTAGGTGAGGCTTTATAAAGAATGAATCGTTTGAAAGAAGATTAGGAATATTCTGGGTTGGATTATATCGAAAGCCATGAAAATGCAAATTAAAATGATGACAAAGGTAGATTGGGTTTGCATAATTTAATAGCTTAAGAACTAGTCAATAAGCATAGGTTTGAGGAAGTATTGAAATAGTTTGATTTTGCAATATTGAAAAACCCCAACAATTCATCTTATTATTTTCACAAAGGTGAGATAAAATCAATATAAGCTTTTAGCCAATACATTACATAGAATGAATAGATTTGAAGAAGCCTTGGAATATTTTGACTTAGCTATTTAGTAGAACCCTGAAAATCCGATTTATTATCATAATAAAGGTAGAATTAATATTGCATAGATTTTTAGCTCTAACTTTAGATAAAATGAATAGAATCTAAAAAGCATTGGAATATTATGATTTAGCNAAGGATCATAACTTATAATCTTGCACATCAATAATTATATAGTTAAAGAGACTAAACTTAAATGGATATGAAAATTTATGCCAATACCCAAATAAATTACTTTATGGAAGATTTATATTAATTCTTTCCCACATTATGCATATAATAAAAGTAGGTTATTGAAGAATTTGATAGGACTATTCAAAATCTTGTCCCAATAAATTTATCGATATATATTATTAGGGCGAAAAGAAATAGAATAGCTTCTGATGTTAGATATCTATTTTTTAAGGGGGGAAGATGTGGACTAAGCACCAAAAAATAGAGAATCATAAAATATAATAAAGTAGCATTTACAAAATAACATATGATTCTATGTGTTTATTTGATTGGAAAAATAAAAGGAAAAAGATTAAAAAATCTCTTAGAAAGTTACTTGAGAAGAAATTGGATCATAAAAAATAGTGATTCAATTAATTGATGATAATAATATGTGTGTGTGAACCCTAAAAGGAATTTTTAATTATTATTAATTATTTATAAATCAGAGTCTATATTTATAATACCTTAAAACTGAATATTTTCAGAGTATTTTGTCCAGGTTTTTTGTATTAATGCATTAGTTTGAATCCATTTTTTGAGTTGAAAATTGATAAAAGTAATTTTTATACATTGCCTTCAACCAAGGCTTAGATATGACACAAATTCATCACTACAAGATTTATTTTATTAAATATCATTCTATAAAATGCTTAGATTTATATTTCATCATTTGTTTACTTTAAATCAAAGTTCTAAAATTCTATTTTTTGCCGATTAAACTTCTTAAATTATAAATAATTCATGTGGAGAGTAATTTCTTGTTGTCAAACCAATATTGTAAAATTAAGAAAAGCCTATCTCCTAATTTCATGGCTCAAGTAAATTAACATATTATTTTAACATGGTGTTCGAATTTTATTTATTAGTATTTCGAGAATTTTCGTTTTATCAACTTTATATACTTTCATTTTATTTTTAGGTAATACAAACTAGATTAGTTGTATTGATTATTGATATATGAATTAGGAGAATTATTCAAAAATATATATTTCATTTACTTATATCTTTCCATTTCAAAAATAAAAATAAGATTCTGTGATATATTTGTTCTTAACAATGAGATTCTAAAGTTCAATCTCATCATATTTCAGATTTAAATGAATAATTTCCTAACACAATAACTTATTAATTCAATCAACTTACAGATTTTGTTTATCAAGTTTCATGGCATACTTATCTTATTTATTCAAATTTCTTAATAAGGACAATAAATCAAAATTAATTTTTCATTTTATCCTATTAATTAATCTGAGTGAAGTGCTGATTATAATTTTTTAGAAAACAATAATAACTTTATTCATTAGGTAATTTTGCAAAAATGATGAATACAAAAAAATATGGATTTAACACATTAACCTACAAGTTGCCTTTACGAATGAGTGCTATGAGCTCATTAGATTAAAAAATCTATCAGGACTAATTCTACAATAATATGTATAAAGATTGATTTATTGGGATTAACTCCCTTAAAGAGAAAAAACTGGTGAAAGTAAAAGAGAATAATTTATATTTAGGTGTTAAAAACTAATTAATTATAGGATAGAGGATAAATGTTAAAAAATTAAACTGCTATAAAAAGGCATTTTCGTGTCTCAAAAAAAAAGTTAAAATCAATTCAATAGTCTAATTCTCAGCTAATGATAGAAACTTTGGAAATTTGAACTTATTAATTTATAATGGTAGACATCATTCTAAATTCTTAGGTGAGGCTTTATAAAGAATGAATCGTTTGAAAGAAGATTAGGAATATTCTGGGTTGGATTATATCGAAAGCCATGAAAATGCAAATTAAAATGATGACAAAGGTAGATTGGGTTTGCATAATTTAATAGCTTAAGAACTAGTCAATAAGCATAGGTTTGAGGAAGTATTGAAATAGTTTGATTTTGCAATATTGAAAAACCCCAACAATTCATCTTATTATTTTCACAAAGGTGAGATAAAATCAATATAAGCTTTTAGCCAATACATTACATAGAATGAATAGATTTGAAGAAGCCTTGGAATATTTTGACTTAGCTATTTAGTAGAACCCTGAAAATCCGATTTATTATCATAATAAAGGTAGAATTAATATTGCATAGATTTTTAGCTCTAACTTTAGATAAAATGAATAGAATCTAAAAAGCATTGGAATATTATGATTTAGCCCGAAAAATAAATCCTGAAAACCCAACTTTTTATAATAATCAAGGTAGGTGTAATTTTGCATAGCTTTTTAGCTTTGACTTTATCACAATTCAATAGATTTGAAGAAGCCTTGGAATATTTTGATTCAGCTATTTAGAAAAACCCTGAAAATTCAATTTATTATTATAATAAAGGTAGAATTAATTTTACATAGATTCTTAGCTATAACTTTAGAAAAAATGAATAGATTTTAAGATGCATTGAAACACCATGATTTAGCTATTTTGAAATACCCTGAAAATGCAGAATATTATCGTGGAAAAGGTATAACTAACTTCATATAATTTAATAGCGGATACTCTAAGATAAATGAATAGATATCAAGAAGCCATTGAATATTATAATTTAGCTATTTAAAAAAA